GGTCGGGGCTCGCTGGGTGCGCGGCGCCGCGGCGTCCACGGGTGGGATCGGGACTCTGGGGCAGTCCCCTCCCCCCGTGGCCGCCTTTCTTTATTTTCTGTTGCGTTCGGTTCTGGGTTGTGGGTTTCGCGGTTGGAGCTTTTGGCTGAGCGTTTCGTTCCTTTCCTTTCTTGCCTCAGTTTATTTGTAAAGAGGCCGCGTCGGCGCCTCCGGTGTCGTCGCGTGGATTCACCCCAGAGGGCGGCGGAGCGCTTGGCGCGGGGCCAGGGTGGGGGGTGCCCGGCACGTTTCTTACGTGTTTTAATAACAGAGGGCGGGGCTGGGAGTGCGGGTCGCGGCCTGAGTCTGGGGAGGAAGGGGATTTGCGGGGGTGGGGGGACCCCGGAGGGAGTCAGGTCCTCATCGCCTTTCTAGCGTGTTGGTTGCCCCCGCTTGTTCAGGGGACTCCGGAAGGTGCGCAGAGTTGAGGCGGAGGATTCTGCGACACCATCTCCTCTCATAGCTCAGCTGTGGGTGGAGGGGCAGCTAGGGGAGCTGGGAGGCCTGGGGGGGGCGCTGGTCACTCTTTAATTGTGTCATTCCCTCCCCTTGTCCCACTGAGGGTCCACTCTCCTCCCGGTACGTTCCTACTCTCCAACCTGAGCGTGCTCTCCAACTCCGACTTGGGTTGGGGGACAGGGGATGACAGGGGACGGCGCGCCTTGGTCGCCAGCCTGGCTTTGTCCCGTCAGTGGAGCAGGGGAGGCCATCTGGGAGCAGACTGTGAGGGTGCACTTCACTTTAGTGATCTGTCTCTGCCATTTTCTGGCACGTGATCCCCTCGTTCCAGGTGTCTCTTCTCAACCCTTACAAAGGGTGCCCAAGCGCTGCCTCCCTCTGAGGAGCACTGTGGGCGTCACGTTGGGCGACGGGCTCAGCGGACACGTCCCATTGTGGGGAAATATGGAGAAGGTGCAGGAAAGCTGGTGGGCCCCTGTGGTGTGGCCGATGGCCGCACCTCGGATGCCACACGGATGCCTGCAGCCCCCCCTACCCCCGTCTGGTACCCACTCTGCGCTCTCCACACCTCTCACCCAGTCGCCATCCCAGCCACCCCCCCTGCACCTGGAGGCTGTGTCCACATGCGTGCGCAGCCAGGACGGGACTTGGGGTGGGATCTGGGCGGTGTCTTCTTCGAGGTGGTAGGGTCCTCGTGTCTGTGGCAGGGACGTTTGGAGGTCCGTGATGATGGAGGGGTGTCTGTACGTGGGTCAGAGGGACCGTGCCCCTTTGGGCGGCCGGCTGATGTCTAGTTCTGTGGCTCATTTGGGGGAGTCTGCCTGTCTGGAGAGCGTGGGGATGGGGTTGGAGTGGGAGATTTCCGACGGGCAGAGGGACCCCGCCTCACTCATCATCGCACCCCTCTTCCTGTCCCTCTTTGTGCCCGAGGTGTGTGTTCTTTGGATGGCAGGACCCCTGAGAGTTTCCACTCCCTCTCCCCCCTAACCCCACCCACCGTGGCCAGGCTTGGTTTGTTTTTTCTCAGGCCTGGGGTCAGACTTCCTGGGTGGCCAGGCACGAAGCACCATGGGATCCTTCAGAGCCTCCGTAGGCCCCCCGAGGGACCATCCCCAAGCCCGTGAGGAAGAAGGACTTGGGGCCAGGAGGCTGAATCGCAGCGTTGTGGGGAGCAGGGTGCCATCCAGGCTGAGTCCCCTGCCCGCGGGAGCTGGGGTTCTGGATGTCCTGTCTTTGTGACAACGGTGCAGGGACCTGGTGGGACACAGGTCCCCTCGGTTATTTTGCTACCAGCTTTGGACACTTGAGTGCTCACCGATTGCTCCTTCGTGGGGCCCTCAGGACACCCAGGGCCACCAAGCCCTGCCTGGGCTCTGTATGAAGGCCTTTGGTCTTTCTGGCCCCCAGAGGAGGGGACCGCTGCTGTTAAACTTGTCTTCGAGGTGGGAAGCCATGCCTGCTCGGGGTGTCCCCAGGCTAGGGACAGATCTGAGGAGGAGCGTAGTTAGTTAGATGGTAGCTGTCGCTGAGCCCTCCCCAGGGAGGGCGCCCTGCCATCCCTCCTGAGGGTGTTTTCTCTGTGCAGCCAGTGCCAATCTTCACCTGGCCCTGTTTGACAGATGGGTAGACTGAGGCCCCGGAGTCCAGCGTGGTACCCCCATCATCCCTGCTCCATTGACTCCGTGGGGTGGGAAGGCCAGGAGGGGTCATGGGGTCTTTTCACAGGTCACCACCTGCCCAGGGAGCAGGGAGGGCTGTCCTGCGGTCACCTGTGCCCTGCTTACAGCCCCTGGCCCAGCACAGAGCGCTCCTGCGTTGGGCGGGCAAGGACTTTGGAAGCTGCTGGAGATGTTGACGCGGTTGCCGTGGATACGAGAGTGCGAGAGCGGGGAGCTGGGGCGGGGGCGGGAGGAGAGGCTGGCTGTCTACTTGCTCTCCCAGCCTCCCTGTCTCTGGACGGCTCCCCCGCCTGCACCGCCAGCGTCCAGCACAGCACGCAGTCAACCATGTGTGCCTGGAGGGGCACTCAGGCACCCGGACTCCCACCCACTTGATGCCAGGTGCTTCCCCCCCGCCCCGGCTATGACAACCGTAGATGTCCCCACTTATCGCCTAGTGTCCCCTAGAGAATGGCAGGATCTCCCCAATTTGAGACCCCCGTTTACTCTAAAACTGTCTACTTAAGTCTGAGAAATATTAGTTGAGCACCTACTGTGTGTAGGACACTGGGGATGACCCAGTCCTGTCTCCTGGGACCCAGGGACCTTGGCAGATTGACAAAGGAAAAGTTTTCCTCGAAGAAGCCTTAGTAGAGACCTGAAGCCCTTGGATGAGGTCCCAGGAAAGGGGTGGCACCCTGGCTGCAGGGGGTGGGGGCAGGGGCCCTAGGGTGCAGATTCGGAGGATGCTGTGGTGGTGTGAGGTGGGGAGGGGGCAGGGTAGGCGAAGGGTTCC